ACTTGTGTTTTATAGTTTTCTTTGTCATCTCCCATTTGTCGTCGTCGGGGTAGTAGAATTTTCCAGATATCTGGGACAGGTGTTGAATCATTTCAGGAATCATTAACAGGAATGATTCAACACCTGTCCCAGATAGCTGGAAAATTCTACTACCCTGACGATGACAAATAGGAGAGGACAAAGAAAACTATAAAACTCAAGTTTCGAAGTCGTGTGATTATAATTGATATGATTATGAACAATAAATTTTGTTCAAAACTTTGTCATCCAGTAAATAATACTGTTTCATCACTGTGTGATACATCTAATAAACAAACTAATATGGAGTTGCTCCACTTTATTATTACAACCCTTTAGCACACTGGAAATCTACGTTGCCATAGCGTATAAAGTTCACGAAGTTTAGGTTGATACAGATAAGTATATTACCACTTCACCACAGTCCGGTTACTATCTAGCTATCCATTTATTTCTAACTTGCATCTATCCGAGTTAATGCACCAGTTGAAGACCTTATTACTTAAATCTAGTCTTTACTGCCTCAAGAAATCGAACTCTGTTACCACTTCCCACTGATTTAAGCATGAAGTAAGCATGACTCATAGGTGGTTTTGTTTCCCCATTTTACTCACAATAAGATTGACTCATTATTATGATTGTTTCGAATAACTTATTAAGACTTTCAGATATAGAAAGATATGAGAATAAATCAAGTGGAAATAAATGTCTGTAAGGTGAAAACAAACTCTATAAGTGTGTATTTTACACGCACACACACACGTGAGTGGGTTGAAAGAGGAACAACAAACCGAGAAAGGAACTTCTTATACCATGTGATGACAATGCAAAACTAGTGTAACAACATTCAGCAATATTGAATCTTTTCTAATGAGTTCGACTTTATTTTCTTATCTTTTTTCCACCCCATTGTATCATTTGAATTTGAATTTTATAGCTTTTTCATCAAGAAAATAGAAAAACGTGTCACACATATATAGTTAGTTATGTAGGCGCATATGTGCCACTATATAATATCTGTACCCGAGGATCTCCTCATTCCCGTACGTTTGTGTACAAAATGTGAATTAAAATATGGTGAATATTGGCATAACCACAGGAGTAGCATTATTATTATCATCATTATTACTATTATCACCAGTTTGAATTTAAGTCCAAACATTTATTGTTACTTAAACTGATAAATGTGAATAATAACGTTGAATACACAAGGGTGGAATAAAAACTGAACCTCCTTCCATCTCTGTTACTGTTGTTTTTTGTTTTAATCTTATGGTGTTAGGCCTTACGCTACAAACGCGTTTAGTTGTTATTTTATAACGTTTTTTGTTGTTGTTGTTGTTGTTGTTGTAATTATTTAGAGAGTAACAAAGTCATAAAAAAAAGAAGAAACAGTGGCCATGTATAATAAATTACATATATATATATACTACACGAGATATATGAATACATCTCAGTGGTGAGTGAGAATGATACATTTTTAGAAAGAAGAGTTATTGGGAACATGATGTTTGGTGATAACGGCTGATTAATAATAATCATAATGATAATAATGATTCCAGAGTAGTATCATTTTCGTTACAATATGGCTTGTCTGAAAAATATTCATCTACAGTATTTTCTAAAACTACACACACATACACACACAAACTGGTAAGATTTATTATTTAGTTTGCAGTTTCCTTCTGATTAGTATTCAGCAGTACGTTTGTAAGGATTTGATTTCTTTCAAGTCCCAGTGGCTTAATGGTCTACGAGCTCGCCTTGTAACCGCAAGGTCCTGGGCTCGAACTCCGGTGGGTGCGTACTGATGAAGAGTCCCAAACTAGCTGGACGAAACAGCTGTTCAGTACTCCCAGGATTTCCTTGTGTGTCGGTGGCACAGCGGTCTGGACGCTCGCCGACCATGCACATGGTCCGGGGTTCGATCCCCTGCCGACGCACACCTGATATCAGTGGTTGGGCTGCTAAATTTGGGCTACCGATATCACATGCTGAAAATTCCATACTTGTATCAAAAATACCTGTGTGGAGTCAAGCTGTAATCAAAATAAAAAATAAATAATATAAAATGTTTTGTCAGTTAGAGAACCAAAGAAAACCGAATGAAGTGCTGGACAGCTGATTCATTCTAGTTTGGGACATATTGGAAGTACACACGCACCAGCGGGGTTCGGACCTAGTACCTTCTGGTTACAAGGTGAGCTCATCGACCATTCAGTTACTGGGACATGACTCATTGGACAACTGATGAATTCTAACTTCTACTAACTCGTGATTTTAGCGCGACCACCAGTCGATTTCATCGGTGGCGAGTATTTGTCCTCACTGCGGAGTGAGTGTACCCCACTGTTCACGACGTCTCACTCGAATTGCAGTCAACTTCATCATGTAACCATTCATTAGCTAGCTAGTATCAGATTAATTTCTAAGAGTTGGTTTGATCACGGAATGATATCAGTTTGCGAACCACTGAATACTGTTCTTGACAGTATTAGTGCTTCTCAGCCTTTTATATGAGTTAAAAAGAATCCGCAGTTATTTGAGTGTTCAAATAGACATATGCTGAGAGCGCTGAGCCACCGCCTTCTTCGACAATCAACGTTGTTTGATATAGGGTAAGGATGAGAAAAGTAGTCAGTACGAAACCTGTCATCAGTCTAGAAAGACTCCGATAGTTGGTTTGAGCCAGCTCCGTATGGAGGTGTAGACTACTTGGTTGGAATCCTAGAGGTGCTGCGAACTAATAGGTGGAGTTTACTGTTTATGTTGCTCAGTAGCTCAGATGGATTCACCTTAATGTTTTCCCATGTAACTGCTCTTTCTTCCCCATTTTTGGCGCTTATCCTAATCATATTTCATTTGAATCTGTGTTTTCTCTACCACTGTCGGTTGTATGCAGTCTGGAAAATTGAACGGCCACACTTCTGCGCAAAGTTCTATGCTGCAACTTAGTCAGCCAGGGATTTAAATATACAATGTACATTGGCAACAAAGGTCAGAGGTTATTGTCCTGTTTTCTATCGATTTATTTCAATTGGTTATTCATCTGTTGACTAATCAGATGTCACCTCTGTCGACTTCATAAGATTAGTCAGTATTTTTCAAACATTGTTACTTTTCATACACTTTGGTTTCTTTTGTTACTAAGCGACAGTAATTTCTGACATTTGCAATCAATTAAAATTGTTTATTTAAACCCCGCCTCTAAAATGAAACTGTACAGTTTTGAGGTGAAGTTACTAAAATGGTTACTAAAGAGATCCTTTTTGCTGACTTATATCTTTCTAACCTACGAACATCACCTAGGAAATTTTGATACTTTGGAAAAACCTACAATGAACAAAGATTAGCGTTGCTATCCTATTAGGTTAACAAGCAACACGGATGGAGATGTTAAAGCCAACCAGCGTCAGAAAGGCATGAGAGGTGTTCATTACTCTGAAGCGAGTGATGCATCTCCTCTATTCAGTATAAGGAACACTAATTTCAAGTAAGTGCTTCTGCATGGTTTAGAGATTTGAGCAAAGTTAAACTTTAAGCACCATTAACTACCAATCAACGGACGACCTTCAACGTACCAATCACACGAAAGGAGGATTTTTGGTCATGGAGAAAAGCATAAAAACTGCATAAAACCATTACAAAGGGTATCTTTCTCTAACATGTGAGAGAAACATCTCCAAGCCAAACATAGGACTGTCAATAGAAAAGTCACACCACATTCTATACATATATCTATCCAAATGACTATTAATGAGATCTTTTTGAGACCCATTTATTGCCCTAATCCTATTTTTCAATCTTCCCCAAAATCCTTCAATAGAATTTGTATGTGTCCTCGTAATAGGATCGACAAAATCACTAGAATGGTTCACTCTGTGATGAATATATCCAAGGGATGACAGCGAGTTATAACCTTTCCATTCATCACTATGCACTATAGATCCCTGTTTCACCAGTCGAGTGACAACAGGTACTAGGGTAGTAGACTTTCTGTCTGGTATTCTCTCCGCGAATCCTTTTCTGCAGGGAGGTGTCGTATAAACCAATCACCCAAAAATTGGTGGTTCACTCATGACCACGGTTGTATTTTTTCTTCAATAAGACCTTTTCCGCTCACGTGCACGAGGGTACCTTCGCCTAACAACATCGAGGCGATGTCTCTACAGTGCTGGTAACACCGAACTGTTGAGACGAGGCTATTTTCAGTTTCAGCAGCTCCGCCTCTCACAGCCTGTTTTAAAACCCAGTAATTACAAATATACAAAATCTATGTTAGGGACAGATGCGACCTAGCAAAAAATGCTCCTATAAAATATTGGAATCATTAGCTTACCTTCCCTAACACTCACTCGTCTCAAAAAACCGCACAACGATGAAGATATCCATCAATCAACCTGGTGAAGGTTTTTAAATTCATGCATCTCTACACGGAAAAATCCTCACCTTCCTAAGCAACTTCACATCCAGGTAATACTGCAGGTGTAACTTCGTGAGAGCAGGCATTTGACACTAATCAAGCGGGATGCAACCTTCAACTCACGTCAATGAACTTCATTGAACCATTCGAGGTCATTCTCTGAATAGTAGTTAGTGTTGCTTAAAGTTTAACTTGGACGAGACTTGTCTGACATCAGATCAAAAGCATTTTCAAAAGGTTGAAAGCTTTCATCAGCATCTGACTTCGTCCAGTACTGACTATCAGATAGGCAACAAACAAACCAAGGGTCTATCAGCCAAGAAATGTTCAGATATATTGGATGAGATTTGAGAAAACCGGTAAGTGAAGTCATGTGCTGAGATCTAGTGTGGGATGGGCGTGAATCCGAAGGTGACATGGAGGTGGAGATGAAAGCTTTTTTGGTGATCGTGGTATGCAGCCGAAGCCTTATGTTTCATTCGGAACATACTGGGTATAATAAATAATAATAATAATAATAATATGAACAACAGGATCAATAAAACGTTAAAAGTATTACCTGATACTACTGGTACAGCATTAGTAGTATTTACAAATATTGGACTATATGGACTATAATGAATAGCATGATGTGTACTTGGATCATAGAAACATGAGTTGGATACATCGATGTGATAATTTAATCCAGGTTGATTGATCATCATTTGTGAACTTGGTGATGATGTAGATGAAAGTTGATGTGGATTAATGGGTAGATTACAATTGACTGGTAACATTATGTTGGAATTATTATTATTATTGTTATTATTACTATTGCTATTTTTTAACATACTGTCTAATTGTTGAAATGTTGCTTGTTTGAAATTAGCATTATTGAACGATTTCTTTGGCGACAGTTTTTGTTTACGTGTATTCCAATTGCAGAACTAAACATATAAAAACAAAAATAATAAATAGATTAATTACTAATTGCCAGAGTAAATGAAAATATTTATTGTTATTATTATTGTTGTTTCCTTTAATTCCTAGAGGAACATAGAGCTTCAGCCACACGTCTCCATTGCATATAGTTCTCTTACAACGTTTTCCTCACCTGGCTCCACCTCTGCCCACATACTTTCATCTCCCCTTCACATCACCTGCTCCTCCTCCTCCATGTTACCCTCTTACCGACGACCAACTCGCCGCTTTCCAGTAAGGTTCCACTCGAGCTAGGGCCTGGAGTGTGATGTCACTCACTTGATGGTTTGTTTTCTCAGAGTATGGCCAATCCAATCCACCTACATTTTTTCCTGCATATTTGTTGCACAGTCATTTCCTGCTGGGTTGATTCGTTCATCGCCAGAGATCCCTTCCTGTTACTGATCTTTTCTGGCTGGTCATCTGATCTTCAGTAGTATCGAGAGAAGACAACTGCTGATGAAAGTCTGTAGATTGTTCGAAGTGGCCTTCGTGATGTGGCGCCAAGTCTCTGATCCGTATAGTGAGTAGCACTGACTTCACATTGGAGTTGAAAATCCGGATGTTATTTTCATTTTCATGCTGAGTGATGCTGACATCCACATAGACCTGAGAGAAATGAAAGCTTGCCTTGCTTTTCCGATACTGGCTGCTTTTATATCCTTATCAGTTCCGCTCGCCTGTAGTTGAAACGATGCTTCCCAGGTAGGTCAGTAGGTGAAGGAGGTTGCTTCTTTCAGATTTCTCCCATTTATACTGACTGATTGTTGTCTGTTGTTGTTGCTGTTGCTGTTGGCCAGGAATCTTCATCACCTACCTCTTTTTTCTCTATGTTCACCTGAAGTTCTTCCTATCTTCTCTGGATGCTTCTTCTGCCAACTTGTTGCTTTCCACTTGCATATCTTCCAGTTTGTGGGAAATCAGACTTATGTCATCTGTGAAGTCCAGATACTCTAAGATTTTTGTATGGGTCCATTTTATGCCTGTTTACTCTTTGCCCGCTGTCTGTCGCATTATCTAGTCTACCACAATCAGGAAAATCAGTGGGAATAGTTGTAATTAAAAGGAATCGAATAGACTAGAAATTTAACAGTTGTTTTGTAAAAAATTTTTTCTATTTCCTACCTCTTCATTCATAAGAATAGTAAGAATTAGCATTCAGACCTCTAAGAAATCCCTACAAGAAAACGTAATGCTCACTAGTGATTAACCAAAGGACGAATCTGCCTCAAGTTGTAGTGAGATATCTTGACCAGTGTCTCCCAATGATTTGGGTATAACGAGACATATCCCCGATGACAGTGATTAGTGATGGGGCTATGTGTTATAAATTGACAAAGGTTAGAATTCATGGATAGTTGGCTGAATGGTCAATGCAATCATTTAGTAACCTGGATGTTGCGGGTTTGACCCCTGGCAGTAAGTCGATGGGTGTATACTGCTATGGAGTCCGAAACTAGGATGAAACATAAATCCAGTACACCTATTGGTTTTCAGTGGTTCTCGCACTGATGTCGACTGGTGATCTAAATCAATACCAGTCAAATCCCTGCAAACCAACACTTGAATATATCACTTGTTAGATTTGCGTCAGGAACCAACATCAGTGTGAGAGATCATTGAAGACCAGGGTGAGGTGGATGGCAGTTTCGTCCCATTTGGGGGCTCCTCATCAGTACCCATCCGTGAATACACAAAAAGTCGAATCTGAGACCTTCGGGTGATGAGACCATGTTCGTTGACCACTCAACCACTTGGGCTGGCTTCCAGTGACCCGTGAATCCAAGCTGTGTCAATTCATGATACAGCGCTACAGTCACCAATGTTTTCGATGACCATTCACTCCGCCTTGACTTGGTGAACTCCACTGGTCAGCGAGCTTCGTCTGGTAGCATGAAGGTATCAAGTTCGGTCCTTGGTAGGATTGTAGGTGCACACTGCTGAAGAGCTCCATAAATACGTCGTGGCAGCTATCCAGTACTCCTTGGTTTCCATTGATCTCTTTAACTGATGTCGATTCGTAAGGAAAATCTAACACCTGAAATTAGTCCAAATCCCCACAAATTCCATAAATTTGAATGGATGGCATTCATTGAACTCATCATAAACTTAAATCAAATGGTAGAACATGGAATAACCGCTTTTATTGTAGTTTAAATTCGAAATCCGCAATATCTGCGTTTCTGACGTCATTAAATTCCTAGTTCATTAGTCACTAAAATTAGTCTGTAGATTATTTATCGAGAAAGAAAAGTTTAACAGTTTAAGGGAGATTTTAATACGTTTACAGTATTTAGTCTATGTAATCCTTCTGCTCTTCTTGTTCAGTATTTTTTTCACTTTACTTAAATGCTTCTTTACGAGAACATGTAAAAGTACAGTGTTAAGTAATCTCAAGTTTATATGTATCGATACACTTTAGATTGACCTATCATATTCAGTTATTGTTAGATGGTAGGAGGCAACAGGCAGGAAGCCTCACTGACTGACTGACTGACTGCTTTCAACATAGAATTTTGCACAGATGTGCAGCAGTTCGAGTCGCCACACTCCCTCTTTATAGCACATAAAGGAAGAAGAGTAAAAAGAAATGCAAAACAGAGGCAGTAAACAGAGATATGAGACAAAAGCAATAGTAATAACGAAGAACAGTATAGTTTTATAGGGTATTATAAGTCACAAGGAGTGGATGCATCTACACCAGCCATTGAGAACGATTTTGAACCATATCACCAGTCGTCTATAGCCATTGATGTTTACCGTCCCGAGGACTTCAACCAGGAAGTCTAAATCCTCCCTACCTGGCTGGCTGGCTGGCTTATACTAACTGTTGCGGATCTCATTGACTGATGAAGCCATGTGCTGGTTTGGACACCACTAGCTCTTTTCCAGCCTCATTGATCCTATGTCAGCTAACATTGTCCGTTGTTGAGGAAGGCATGGCCAGGGATGCATGCGTAACACATGTCCTAACCATCTCAATCAGTGTAACTTCACATCATCATCGATTGATTTCCCCTCCTTACCTAGCACAGGACCGGCGCCTAACTTCAATATTAACCCCCTTAGTATATCAATTCACACGGGATGTAGATAGAACGCAGGCACCTATGATGAAAGACAGCTAGCCGGCCTTTTCATGTCTTCCATTTTCATTGGCCACCTCTCATAGCCATAAAGGAGAACGGAGCGGACTGCTGAGCAGTACACACACCCTTTGGTCGATAGGAGATTCATCGTGCTGAAGTTTCTGTAGCAGCTTTGTTTACAGGGTGGGGTTGCTAGCCTCACGCCTGATTTCTCACAAACTGAAAGATATGCAAGCGAAAAGCAACAAGTTGGCAGAAGAAGCATCAAAGATAGGACTTCAGGTGAACATAGAGAAAACAGAGGTGATGAAGATTCCAGGGCAACACCACCACCAACAACAACAATAACAACTGACAACAATCAGCATAAATGGAAGGAGCCTGAAAGAAACAACCTCTTTTACCTATCTGGGAAGCATCGTTTCAACTACACGCGGAACTGACGAGGATATCAAAACATGAATCGGGAAAGTAAGATAAGCTTTCACTACTCTCAAGTCTGTATGGAGGTCAACAGCATTCAGCGTCAAAAATAAGATCCGGATTTTCAACTCCAATGTGAAGTCAGTGCTACTCTACGGATCACAGACTTGCACTGCGTGTCATAAAGAGCACCTCAAACAAACTACAGACCTTCATTAACAGTTGTCTTCGCTCAATACTCAAGATCAGATGGCCGGTCAGAAAAGATCAGCAACAGGGATCTCCAGGAGCGAACCACCCAGGAACCAATTGTGCAACAAAAAGCTGGAAGAAATGGAGATGGATTGGCCATACTCTGAGGAAACCGTCAAGTGAGTGACATCACTAGACAAGCCATTGCTCGAGTGGAACCCGAAAGGGAAACGGCGAGTTGGTCGTCAGTGTGAGGGTGACTTGGAGGAGGTCATGTGGAGAGGAGATGAAAACGTGTGGGCAGACATGGAGCCAGGTGAAGATTCTAGCAGAGAACCGAACGCAATGGAGACGCACGGCTGAAGCCCTATGTTCCTCTAGGAATTAAAGGATACAATAATAATAATAATTGGTCGATAGGCAACCGGATATCACATCTACACTTAGGCATCGTGCTATTTGGCACTTGCCAACAAGGCGCATCAGCATTTTTGATGGGGAGCCATCTAACATGATAGCCACATTTCAAACCTGGCTAATAGAATTCAGTCTACACCAACTACACCAAGGACTAGATGTATGATATTCGTTACTACCCAGTATTCATTACAGTCCTTCAAGACTGCAGATATACCTTGCTGACTGAACAGTACCAACAAGTACAAAGCTTAGGACAGGCAAGGTTTCCTGCCTATCACTAGGATGATGAGCCAGTTAGCACTGTGGTCATATTACAAACTTGACTAACAGAGTTCAGTCTGCAAAGGGATGAAGAACTGAATGCATAATTAATCTTATAATTTGAAGGATAAAATTAGTAACATTTTTAGAATGGTTGTATGCAGACAGATAAGTCAACTTAGGACTTTACGAGGCACTGGATTAGTTCTTGTCACAGTAAAACGTATCGGACAGAAATAGTATAGTTGTGTTACAATGTATAATTATGAGTTTGGGAAGAGAAGAAACGAACTAATGAAGACTAATCACAGGTGAATGTCCTTCGAATGATCATATTTTTTTGATAACATGCATACAATCAGTGTAGTATACGTAAACTGTTGTACACAGGGGACATTATTCTTCATGAATGTCTATCCATTCTAAGTATTCTAAATTACTAGGAAAGACTAATAAAGCATGTATCATCTGCTCTCAACTCACAGGCTTTTTCTTACAGCCTAAAAGAATTTTTTTTATATTCGCGAGAGCGAGAGAGTGATTATATAATATGTCAAGAGGAATTCGACTATCTGTCTCAG